TTGGAAAAACTCCCTCGCGCATTCTACCCTTCGGGGCGGGGCGCGCAAAAAGGAGGTGTGACATTTAGTAACAAAATAAACTTATAGAACTTAAATTTTAAATTCGCTCGTTACGAATCGTATTTCGTTATTTTTAGCGCCAAACAAGACATGTAACAGTATACGACTTAATAAAGGTAATTTTCATCAATCATATTCATGGTGCTTCGTAGGGAATGGTTTTACAGTTCTATTAATAATTCTGATAGATACCTGAAACAAAATACAATCAATGAATACATGAACTAGTTCTGCGGATATAAAACATGTTATAAAGTAACTGGAATTTAAACCAAATAATTCAAATTTACTAAGATGTCAAGGTCAATACTTGATATATCAAATAGTTAATTTAAAAAAAAAAAAAAAAACCTTTTCCAACACAGCCTATCCTCTAAAAACAAAATCCCAAACTTTTTGGGTGTCAATAATTTATTTTATATTTAAGTTTAAATTATTTTTAAATATAAAAAAATATCATCTTGAAAGAAAAATGGTGACCTAAAATAGAACGGGGAGGGTATAATAATGGCCGCTTTAATCGGGCCTCACGAGAGTGACACATCAAAATAACCAATATTTTATTCATAAATCACCAAAACAATAACATCATCAGTTTTCAACCGTTAATACAACCCAAGTGGGACAATGAAATGAACAAGTACACCAATTTGCTTACACAATTTGCCACACGCAAATTATTGGACGCCCCAACATAAGGGTAAAGAGTCAGAAAGAGACAAGACTAAAATAAAAGCAGGAGCTACTAGGCCAATAATCATTGCTCAAATCAAATATTGGATATAATAAAGTCAAGAAACTAATTTGCCCACATATTTTTTTAGCCCAAAGATCCCTTCTTTATTTGCATCTGCCAGCTTTGGATTCGACAGCCAACAGCGTTTGTTACTCAGATTCTTAAGGTTCAGTTCTTATCCCATGTGTAATTCTTCCTTTACCCTCCCTCTTTGATTCTTTTGCTATTTTATTGGATTTGACCATGTGCTTGTTTGAGTATTTTGCTTTCTTTGAACTGTCTTGTTGCTAATTCTTTGAAATGTTGCTCCTTTTTCTTTTCTTAATCTTTATTTTCTAAAGATTTGATTTTATTGCTTTCTTCATTCTTGGAAACTCTAGTAGAACAATTCTGTGGTTCCTACTTTTCCCTTTTTTTTCTCTTTTTTTCTTTTTGTTTAGTAGCTGTTGAAACAGCCTCTAGCATAAATTCATGCTGAGACGGACCCTTATGGTCCGAACCTTCCTCGGATCCTGCACATAGTGGGAGCTTAGTACACCGGGCTTTTTTTGTTTAGGAGATTGTTGTTATAATTGGTGTGTGGGCCCTACTTAATTGAAACTGTAGTGATTTGTTATAAGAGGAAGTGGTAATTTTTTGTGTGATGGGTGGGTGTAATTAATGAAATTGGAAGGTGGAGTTGGCTATGGTTGAGTTGTGGCCATTGAATTTTTGGGTTGGTCACTGGATGTCTTGCTTGGCATTTTGATTGTACTTCTATACTTGTGTTTTGCAGCTATTGATGTTAGAGTCGTCTCATCAATTTAGCAGCAGCTGTTAATGCTTATCAGCTTTAGCTACCTTGCTTGTCTTAAGATTCAAGAATTGGTTAATTCCTAAGTAGGAGTCTATTCATGTAATGTTCTTTAAAAACGAGAGAAGATTCTTTATTGGTGTCCTACTTTGATCTGAAAATGTATTGGTTTCTTTGTTGGTGCTTAATGCAGCTTAAGGAGTTTTTTCTATGTGATCCTTGAAGCAACATTTACTTTGAATTCTTTGACCTTCAAACCTTCTCCACTGCTTTATGTTTCCCAATTTTACATACTAGTCAGTGGCAATTTTCTATTCTTTTGCTGCTCATGGTCAGTTTTTCATATACCTACAGTCATTCTGCAGCAAGCTTCCTAGTGTTGTGTATGTCAAAGATGCTCTCTCTTAATTATCAAAAGATCTTCCATTCAGATGTCAAAATCATAGTAGACACAAATTCATTTTATCGGGTAAAGAATGTGGCTTATCATTGTCAGATAAATATTTTATCACAATATCGTATGTCAAGCTCTTTAGCAGAACAGTAGAAATTGAAGGCACTATTCATCCCACTCTACAAAAACATCAATGAAACATAGCACTTCAAATCTTCAATATCGTTGGAGAACAGTCGAGGGATGCATGAAAGAGAATATAGCCCCACTACATGTAGATCATAGGAAACCACCGTATGCCCCACATGGTTTAATGAAGCTAAATGTCTTACGGTCTAACTGAATACACTTGACAGACAAGAGCACACCTCTTGATAGAATGTTATGTTTCTGTGTTCAATCAAGATCCCAATAGCTACTTGGATATAAAGTTGGCATTATGTAAGTTTTATCACTTTATAGAATTTGAAGGGAGCAGACTAAGTTAACATAGCAAGTCTACATAATCTTTTTGAGCATGACAATATTCTAAGTAAATGCAGCTATAGTCTTTATAATCTTCTGAGTAACAAGAATACAAATAGTTGGAAGCATTGGCTATATAGTCAAAAATAATTAGGGAAGGACAATAAATTGATGAGGAAAGATCATCGACAAAATGCTTGATGGTCAGGTCATTTTATAGTCATTTGTTCATTGAAAGTGAATCAAGACTCGCATGGAGATCATTATGGAAATTTAGAGCACAAGTAAAGGTGGCAAATTTTAGGTGGATTGCACTGTAGGTCTGTGGGATGCTATTCCAGTGGCAGACAACTTATGAATAAGAAGATATATAACCATCAGATGCTGTTCCTTCTGCAAGCAACGGGGAAAGGACACTGACCGCCTTTTGCTACATTATAGCTTCACTTCGGAGTCATGTGCATTGGTATACTCCATGTTTAATGTCGAGTTGGTCCATTCCAGAATAATGGAAAGATGATGAATAGTTGGCGGAAACAAAGGCTGGGAGGTAGCAGGAAGAGTTTATGGAAAACGGCAGCCTTTCTTGTTATTTGGCGTATGAAGAGAAAGACATAGAAGAACTTTTGAGGGGGTTGAAAGTTCATTGGCATGCTAATTGTTCTCTTTTGCTTATATTGTATTTATGATGTAAACATGAATTACCCTCTAGCATTGATGATTGACTAATTTTGGGAGACTTAAAGTATACTTGTAAGTGTCAACACCAACTTGGTGCAACATTTATAAATAAAATTAATATATCACCAAAGATATTCTTATATACTTTTCCAATGTTGTTCCAGGGTAGGGGTAAGGTCTGCGTAAACACTACCGTCCCCAGACCCCATTTGTGGGATTCCACTGTATTTTTTGTTGTTGTTGTTGTTGTTGTTGTATAGATTTGATTTTGTTGGATGCATATGATGATAGCTTGAAGATTGTGTGTAAATTTATCATTATCTGTGAGACATTGCGACGGTAGCATTAGCTAGGCAATCAAGAACTTCTTTGAATTGCGTGCTCATGTCATTGTAAAAATGTTCTAGTAGATCCTATTATTTCTGAAGGATTTTAGTGTTGTGATGTTGCATACTGGTTCTTCTTCGTTTAATTTTGCTGGTTGGGTAGGTGATTGACCTTTTCACCATGGTGATTCAAGTCTAATTTTATTCCACATCATTGTGATGCCTTTGGAGACTTTGTTTCTTGTATCTTCATTTGATGTGTATTTTCTTCATGATTTATGAGTATTTGTCAGAAAAAAAATTCATGCTGTATAATATCCATTGCTAAGGTGCCTTTTCTAATGTAACGTCTAAAAATCCTTATGCTTTCCATGACAAATCTAGAAATTCTTGTTGATTTTAAAGTGTTGTGTCATTATAGGACAAGGCCTAAATGCCAAATTTTTTTGTCAAGTAAAGTCAAATGCTGAGGCTCGTTCTAAACACCTGAAAACTCTTAATATGATGTTTTATCCTCCATTGACGATGAACATTTCAACTTCTCTAACTGTTAAATTTTTTTTACATTCATTTAATTTATTTGATACTATTTTCTTTCTGGAATCAAGTCGACTAAATTCTCAAAGTGAAGTGCTGCATGAAAGATTACAAACTACATGTAATATACTGCTCCACATAATGGTTGCAGACCAAATATTTTGAAATAGTATCATTGTTGATTGATCAGACATATCATTGCCAATCTCGAAATTTGTCCTCAAAACTCGAACTGTGTCAAATATATATGGATGGACATAATAAATTTAAAGCTGTTGGTTCTCAATTTTATCTAGCGCATATGCAGCTCTGCTCCAATTGTTTTGATTTGAACTTTGTTAGTTCTTTCTACAGATGCACAGGGTGTAGAGGCTCGAGAGCCATCATCTTCAAAATCGTTTTATTGATTGGGTAGCACAGAAATTTCGGAAACTGTGGTATTAGTATAAAGTCAGTTTCGTCCGTTCAATTTATGGACAAAAATCAACATGCGGCCTGCATTATATATGCCAAGATCTAGTGAAGCACAGCACAATAGCATGGGTGTCTCTGGAACTACGCCAACGTCTTTACCCAGTTTGCCCAAATTGGAGGAGAGATTTCCCAAATTGCCAGATTCTCTTCATGTTATCTCGGAGAAGGAGCTAACTGCAAGCTTCATTTCTCCACGGGCAATTTCATCGACATCTAAGAGTGGAACAGTTGGGCACCTATTGTCGTCCACTTCTGGACCCCACAGAGATTTTCACTTTTTACCTTCCTCTCCTCAAGAAACTCGGCCACGTTACTATCCATTTATCTCAAGTGGGGCTTCTATGTCAACCAGCCAAGCTTCACGCTCAAGTTTACATTCTACCTCGTTGAATACCAACCCCTTGGGGAACCACAAACAGAATTCATTTCATGAGTTTCTTGCTTTTCCTCCAAATGTTCCTGTTCAAAATGGCCAAGTGGAAAGCCTTGCCAGCGTCATGGCATCCGATGATGGTGTTAAGAGATCTGATTGGCAAGACTGGGCTGATCAGCTAATTAACGATGATGACACTCTCGGTTCAAGCTGGAGTGATATCCTATTAGATGTCAATTTTCCAGATCCAGAACCTAAGGTTTGTTCGTTATGCTTTACCTATTTAAGGAATCTAGGGAAAGGAAGAGAAACGAAGGGAAACTAAAAGGAGAGAGCTAATAAATTCTAATAGCTTATTTAACAGAATATCATCCAGTTTACGCCAAGCTGCGAGAAGTAGAATACATCCATATATCTTTGTTAAAAAAGGTAGAATACATCAATATATAGTTCTAAGTAAGGACTCCATATTTTTCGTTGCGTTACATTCTTAATCTTGTCATATGAACTCTTTCTCCATTTGATTTCCCTGTATTATTTGTTTTGTTAAATTCTGTACAAGCTTGACATTCACTTTCAACAAGGCGCAAAGGTGAAAGTTTTTTCATGGGTTTTGGCCTCACCAACATAACCTTTGCTGTTAAATTAAAACTTCCTTTGTATATTGAAATGCTGAGTTATTGTTAAACAGAATAGGTTTTAGACTCCAAAGCAAGAAAAATGTGCATTTCACTTTCTTTAAGCTCGTCTAGTGTTTCCTTCCAAGTGCATTATGCTAAGAATCATTTCGGATTTGACGATATTAGTTTTTTTTTTCTTCATGTTCTTAGTTAACATAAGTTTCTAATGCTCATGTCAGCTGTCTGAGATCCCTGCAAAACAGCCGCAACTTCCTCCTCCTGCTCCTGCTTCATCGGGGCAAAGCTGCCCAGTTGGTAGCCCATCATCTTCCACATCTAAGCCTCGAATGAGGTGGACGCCAGAGCTTCACGAAGTCTTTGTAGAAGCTGTCAATAAGCTTGGTGGCAGCGAAAGTGTGTAGCCTCTTCATTTTGAAGATATGATCTTTTAAGGGTTCGGATGACTTTACTGTATCTTACTCACAATCTTACTTTGCAGAAGCTACTCCGAAGGGTGTCTTGAAGCTCATGAACGTGGAAAGCTTAACCATCTATCATGTTAAAAGCCACTTGCAGGTATAATTAAACCTCTTCACTGACTTTTTTCCTGCTGCAGTATCAGGTGACAAAATTATTCACTTTATACATTTCTTTGAATTTCAGAAATATAGGACTGCCAGATACAAACCAGATCCCTCTGAAGGTAGAAGTTGCCTCATTGATTACTTTATAAACTTTTGCATAGATCAGGCATTTGTTGCACCATATTCTACTTATTCTCTCGGAATATCTTTCCTTGGGCATTGAGAACGAATTACCATACTTCAGCTACATTCTCATGTCATTCTACAAGATATTTCTTTGTAATAAAATTAGTTGTGCTAGTATTTCCTGCCCACCATTCCTTCTCCTTGAGTCAATGAAATGCGTGAATGTGAATTAATGTTGGAGAGACTAAGTTAACCTTGCTGATGCTGAGTAGATATTTTATTGAAATTGAGGAATGGACTGTCATTACAGGAATTTCAGAAAAGAAGCCAACTATCGTCACGGAGATGCCATCTCTGGACTTAAAAACGTAAGTCATTTCTCTGCTTATATTGAAACATATTACTAATGCATCACCGATCTTGGATAACTGCTTATTTTTCCTCTATGTCATTTGTAGTGAATATCTTTATTAAGACATGTCATTTTAGCTGCACAGACGTTTATCCCTCTATCCATATTTAGTTGACTTAGTATGACTGCTAACTAGTCATGAAGCTGAGGAGTAATATTATAATGTTTACAAATTGTTTATAAGAAGAATTAAGTCCAAGAATATCGGTGAAGGTATCTTTTACAACTTTGGTACTTTATATGGAAGTTTGTGCATGCCCCGGTCATTCAACACAAATATAAGGACTAATTTGTGCAACATAGGAAGACTTCGTCAGAGCAGTTTATTTCAAATCTCATTCAGCTTGCAAATTCCAAAATTCCTTGGAGAGAGCACTTTCTTTTTTCTGTTGAAATTTGCAACCAATTGTTAAATCTTAATGTGGAATCTGATTACAGGACTATGGGAATAACAGAAGCATTGAAAATGCAGATGGAAGTGCAGAAGCAGCTTCATGAACAACTTGAGGTATGTGAATGATTAAAGACTCCAGCAGTATTCGTTGCATCTATTCTTTCTTGCTTTTATTGCACCTGATTTTCTTGTCAATTGAGAAGACAAGTCTCCTGAACATGAGGAGAGGGGCAGATGTATTAGCATATTGGCGGATACTTCTTAGCTGGTCATCTCATATTTTGATAAGAACAAGCATAAGCATAGAGGTTGTTTGGCTAAGCTTATAAGCGGGTTAAACCGGCTTATAAGCACTTGTTGGCTTATCTGCACGTGTGGTAAATATTCGGCCAAAAGCCATAAGTTGATCACCCCCAACTTTGACCAAGTCTTTTACGATTTTATCTCTAATGTCTTTTGTAATCTCCGAAATTCTCTTTCTAAATCATAGTTTTAATTATATCGCTATTCTATTTTCGTAATTCGTCCTTTTATATAAAAATACTTTTAAAGTTATATTTTTTGTAAATGACTTTAAGGATCAATATTTTTAATAGAAAAAGTGCTCATTAACACATTCTTACCAAACACACTAACTACATATTATCAATTTCAGTACTTCTATCCAAAAATATAACTGCTTATTTATCAAATTATTTTCAGCACCGAAATGGGCTTTTCAACAGTTGATGCTTATCAACTACTTTTAATCAACTAACCCAAATGGACTCTATATAATATGGGAAGCTAAGTTGCTTCGACACGACTGTTTAGGTGCCGCCCCTGTGTCGACATGACACTAGTATGGGTGTGGGTATGGGATCCGTACTGGATCTGATCAAACAATTTTGGGTACTTTGACCACGACGGACGGAAAAATTTGAGATGAGATACAATTTGGTTCCCGAAATCAGAACTAAAATTAGGGTAAATTTGAAGAAAATAGCATACGTTATCTAGGAAATCAATCATTTACTTATCTATAACTTGAGAATAAAAAAAAATATCTACACTTTACAAGTTATACATGAGTATTCCACAAAATTTCTCATAATTTAGAGATATTTCTATATTTTTATTCTTTTGAACAATTTTTAGCCGGATCCCTGCACCTGTATCCGTACTAGGATCCGTATCCCCAAATCTTAGAATTTACATTTCGAAGGATCCGGCCTCTAGATCCGAACTTGTGTCGGACACCCGCACCCGTGTCCGAGCAACTTAGATAGGAAGTAGATAATATATGGATTACAAGCTTGGATATAATTTAATAATCGGGTGCTTGGTTGACCTTATTAAAATATGAGATCCGCATCCCGGAATCTTAGAATTTACATTGGGAAGGATCCGACCTCTAGATCCGCACTCGTGTCAGACACCCGCACTCGTGTCCAAGCAACTTAGATGGGAAGTAGATAATATATGGATTACAAGCTTGGATATAATTTAACAATCGGGTGCTTGGTTGACCTTATTAAAATTTGAGATGTCTATTTGATAAAATGCTCTGTATGGCTTAGAGTTAGATTGACGTTTCCTTCTGAAACATAATCACTTTCTCCTCAATATTGCATAAAAATAAGTAGAATATATTGTGAATAACGTATTTGTTTGCCAATAACAACAATCTCTATTACTTTGTCTTATCTGGTTACCAGACAATCTTCAGGGTTTCCCTCTTTCAAATTTTGGATACCTGCAGCTTTTATTGCCATCGTCTTGGATAAATTTCCTTCTAGAAACCATGCAAGATATCCTAGTTTCTCAGTATTTTGGTGTCAGTCGTGATATATTTGTCATTTTGAGTTATACTGTTGCAGTAGATTGAGTCCTCCGTAGCTAATATCCTTCTTTAGAAGTGCAAAGTGATATTTGTATGCTCGATATCTATAGAAGTTTTATGGTAAATCTTCCCAAGGGAAAAATAACTTCTTTAGGAAAAAATTCCATTTTATAGACCATCTGGATGGTGTTGATAGGTCTGGCAATGTGTCAAGTATTTTTTTTTTTAAAAGGTAATGATTGTGTTAATAGAACAGCACAAAGAGAGTGCTGATAATACTGTACATGTGAGCAAAAGCATAAAAAACAGAACAAAAGAAAATTCGAAAAAGTGTGGCCCTCTACAGACTACAATCCGTAGGTTAAGTAATATATATCTTTCTCTTACTTTCTTTTCTATACTTTCTTTTCTAATGTTTATAGATCACATTCTCCCGTTGCTGTTTCTTGAGAATCAATCAGAAACCTTGATAACTGGTGTATCTTTATTGTTCATCGTAGTTTTATATTAAAATTCCCTGAGCGAAAAGTACCCTTTTGTTGGCCATCCGATCAAGATGGTGTTTGATACGTCAGGTTATGTGTTAATAATACTTCGTATTTTATTTTATAATGAGCAGAAACCTTGATTACCGGTTTGTCTTTAATATTTTGCATTTGATGGGATAATTGATCATTCTAATAAGATACCTCTTTCCTCAGATCCAAAGAAAGTTACAACTGCGGATTGAAGAACAGGGGAAATACCTTCAAATGATGTTTGAGAAGACGAAAAACATGGGGAAAGAACTAAATGTGTCATCATCAAAATCAGATGAACCTCCTTCACCATCCACAGAACTAAAACATTCCCCTCCTGATGATAAATCAGATGCCTCCGAGCAGGATCATGTCAGCATTGGACATGGTTCAGGTGATGCTTCAAGATCTCTGGAGGATCTTTCCAAGAACAATGAACGAAAGTTGCCCAAAAGGAAAGCTTGTGAGAATCATGGCTTGGACGTTAGAGACTTAAGTTCCCTTACAACAGAAGGTGCAAAATCGGAGGAAATGTTACCTTCATGAGCCTTGACAGACTCTTGTAATTGTAGCTTTGTAGCAAGGATAGCTGTAATGTGAATTGTGGTGTCAATGTTGTTGACAGACTTGTAAAAAAAAGATTTCTGGATTATAATCCAATCAGTCTTTCTACCTCTTTGCATTTCCAAATAGGTGTTTACCTGCAATCACTTTCAATATCTATTAAGAGTTAGCGTTTCGATTCACAGTTATTCAAGCTACATGAAAGACCATTAGTCTTTGCAAGATAGTAATAAAAAAGGAACTCTAGGGATAAAAGAGTAAAAATTAGACCATGTGTAGTAAGAATTTCATATTTCATCAAGTTGCTGTACTTTGTTTTATATAGAAGTGATTGTTACAAAATTAGAGCCACTATATACAGGATAGTATGATACAGAAGACGAATCAAGGAGGCAATGATGATGAGTGCGTGTATATGACCGGATTGTTTGTTGTTCAAGAATTCTTGTTTATGCAAATCATAATATCCATACATAGTTTTTTGAACTAAGATTTCAATTCTTGTATGTTTTAGCAGTAATATATTCTCTCATGGAGTTGAGGTTTAAAATATGGAAGAACTAAGCGTTTTCATGACTCTACAGCCTCATCAATTTTGTTTTAGTTAATCCCTCTTTCATGACCACATTTCTTTCCGGTTAAAGAATAGGAAATATTTCTTGCTGTTACATCAATTCAATTTTCATTTCATCCAGAAAACATCATCTTTTTTTCAGTAATGGCTTTGTCATTTGATCTAATAACGTTCTGCTAGATATATAGGAACATCTGTTATAAATATTGATAACTCTAGGATAGAGTAGAAAGATCAATTAAATAATGAACCGTTAGTTGGAAATCATCGATTGCTGACAATTGATGATCAAACATTTGTGTTTTTCGTTTAATGTCATTTGTCACAGTTGATTCAGCTGTCAACCGAAATGTATATAATTAAGGCACTTAATCAACCATACTTATCATGTCTTAGTTAACAGAGTTAAATCTATATCCAGGCTTGGAGGTACTGACACGCAATGAGATAAAAATGAGTGACATATGAATTATGAATAATTAATGTCTCTCATCATTTCTCCGACAGAGGATGAGGTGGGATAGAAGACAAATGGGCATGTATAAAATGCCAAACTAAATGTGGCATTTAAGTATGTAATTCTACCTTAAAATATTCAACTAAGTCTTATTCAATGCGTCAATGTTAGTATATTATGTCACGTAGTTGCAAGAAATTGGACACAATATAAGTTTTTGGAATAGACATCTAATAGAGAGTCTAGTCCATACTTCTTTAGAAATTTTCTTAAATGGTTTGCTATGTTGGATACTTTTAATGACGTGAGCTTTTTGAAAAAAAAAATAAAAAATCGTGTAAGCTCGATCCAAATCAAACAATATTACATTGTGTTCCCACTATTATTTTGGCCGTTTTAGGCCAATAGGCCATGCATTGATAATACAACCAATTAGACATATTTCCATCGACATTTACTAGGACCTTTTGAGTTTTCAATGCTTGGAATTCTAATTTTTGTAAGTGAGGTAATCACGTTTACTTTTTGCCCATTGAAACAAATTTAATGATATGTTTGACAAAATCTAATACTGAGTCACATCAGAAATTTTGGAGTGTTCCAATTTAGTTAGATGCCTATCGCTAGAAAATGTCATTTATACCCCGTTTGTGGTGGTAGAATTGTTTGACTATTAACCGTTTAAGTTAATTAATAATTTTCATCATTGCAAGTACTACAATTTTCATTTAATTAAATGATGGATTTTCTGTTTGCTTACAAACTAATTAACCTAGTAGATGCTTCGAGATCAAATCCTTAAGACCATCTCCGTCACTCATGTCTCCCAAATATTTTACAAATTTAGAGCAAGGGTAGACTATTTTGTATTTACACTTGCAAGGAAATTCATTATTAATCATATAAAAATAAGTACTTTTTGTTGAGCATACAGTATCATATATTTAATAAGTGAAAACCCTTTAATAAACTAATTACGTACGTGAGGCCATCCTAGCTATACATTGAGCCCCTCTGTAATTCTCCTTTTACCATATCATTGTCAATGTAATCATAAAAAGCTAGTTTTTCAATCTGATTAATTTTGATTCTCCATATCCACAAACAAACAAGCAAAGGTATTGATATTTGTCACTAATACTTTTAGGACGAATTTAACTTTTACACACTGTATATATTTAATTGACCATAATTCACTATCAAATAACCTAAATGATAACTACAAATAATTTTGACCATAATAAGTCAAATAAAAAATAAAGCAGGGTATCAACTGCAATAGGTTATAATATATTTGATGTTAGATTCTGTTGGGACAATTAAGTTGATAATATCTTCCTAGGCTACTGGCAAAAGGAAAAAAAAAAAAAAAGAAGTCGAATTTTGTGAATAATGGGAGGTCACAACTCTCAATAAGAGGTTCAAAATTTGATGTCAAACTCGAGTAGTAGTAGTAGCAGCAGCTGTCTCCATAGTCTTATCCTTGAGAGTGGGCACCATGTACGTAGTTTTTTAAGTTTGCAATTCCAATTCAACGCCATACACATTAATTAGTTTCCATTTCTTCTCAATTGCTTGAGAATAAGTCCAAATTTGCCTCTCTTCAGTTTATTCTTTTCCGAGATATCACCTCACTCTCACAACAATCATGAATTTGATAGTGAGTGTATTTGTCCCCGCGCTTCACATAGCATCTTTTCGTGTCGTGTTTGCAAATAATATTTTCTAAAACATACTAGTAATATATACATTATTATAATTAGGTTCACGCTTGCTTGATATAATACTTTTAAATAATTAGCGTTTAGTCATGTATTTAATGTTAGACTTTGGACTTACGTTAATTGTTTATAGCCTGAAAGAATAGTGACGTGTCCCAAGTGGTGGATAAATAAAAAGGCCTAATATTAAATATTGTGTGTGTGGATAAGTAAGGCCCAATAACTATTGGCCTGTGATGGGTAGACGCTTTTTATAAATAGAGGCAACCCCCCTTTCCCTAGCTATTAGAAAAAACCTAGCGTATTCTACCTCTTGAATACGTGGTAACGGTAAACGTCCCATCAGTCAAGTTCTCTAGGCTATGAGAGCGCGTAGCTAGTTGATCGTGGAAGTTGGTATCAGACTTGATCGTCGGTAGTTGTTCCTGCTGAATCCATGGAGTTTAACGGTACGCTTCCTTGAACTCTAACTCTAGATTAATTGCATAATTGTGTCTTAATCTCTGCTATGGCTGCGATTTAATAATCTTACAGTTGGTATCAGAGCCACCATAGTTTGGGATTGAGATCAATTGTTCTTATCATGGGTTAGAAAGCAGTAGTCTCATGTCATCGATGAACTGTTATTTTTGAAGTTTCAATGTTGTTTTATCTCTTGTATTGGTCCTTTTACCAGTGAAATTAAAGTACATAGCAGTTTTGTTAATTGATGTAAAAATCACAATACTTTCCGCTGAAATATTGTTGATTTGCTTGGAACCGATCCAAAAGAAAGAAAAAAAAACGTTAGGTTTTGAAGCTATCGGCTATTGAAATAGTTGTGTAAGAAAGAAATTTGTGATTGGTTAATTTAATACACATAGCGACGCAAAGTGATGGATTGTACTGTTCCAAGAAAACTCTGTTTTAACCTAATATTTTGAGATAACTTGACTTTGTCTTTTGGTGTATGTAGTTGATATTTTCTATTCTGTTAAGTTCCTGGGGCCACAATCCCTATAGAATATTCTCTTGCCAAACATTCTGAATTATAACTTTTCTTGTGATAGTAAAAGGACCTTGAAAGTGCTTAGTTGAAATTGATTCAGCACTTACGTGATATTATAAATATTGTCCTTTTATAACTTGTTTGTTAACGTACTGTGAACGTTAATAATATAATTATGAAACTTTTCTTGATTTTATTAGAGAATTAATTTAATAAATACTAAAATATTAATCATATACGGACTCTATTTTAATTTTACATGTATATTATATTAGCCAAATAAGAATTTATGATTAATAAATAGTTTCCACCAAAGTGATCTATTTATTTGGAGTCACTGAAAATTCTTAAAACTACATACATGTGAGATCATTCAATACATGGATTGAGAGTTATGATTAATAGATAGTTTCCATCAAAGTAGTCTATTTATTTGAGTCATTAAAATATTCTCAATGTACTATGTCCAAATTATCCTTTACAAGTGTATACTAGTGTTGGAGATTTTCCTTTTGATACTACTAACACTAAATTAATGCTAAGGATAAGTTGTTGTAAGAGGAGGTTTTGTGTCTCTTACCTAAAGGAAGGACACAATGTATGTCTTGTACTCTTGGATAATAAAAAGGAGGTTTTGTATCTCTTGCCTAAAGGTGAGGTTGCAATGAATGCCTTGGACTCCTTATTATTTTTAAAAGGGGAGACAGTTGCATCTTCTACCCAAAGGAGGGGTGTGATGGATGTCTTTGAGTGTTTTGATCTATATATTCTAGCCCATAATTTTATCTAATTTTTGTGTTGTTTGCTTATACAGCTGTTAGCAACATGACTACTCAGTTGAATTCCATTGAAACTTTGACTAGTAGCAACTACAAGATGTTGAAATAGTGTTAGGTCTGATGGACCTAGACTTTGCATTGACTGAACAGAAACCTGCTAAACCTACAACTACTAGCACTACTGATGAAAAGGCTAAGTATGAAAAATGGATGAAGACTAACAAATTGAGTCTTATGATCATGAAGAGATCCATTTCTGATCACATAAAAGGTGCAATTAAGGATAATGGAAATGCAAAAGATTTTTTGAGTGCTATTGGACAGAAATTCCTAGAATCTGATAAAGCTGAGATAGTTAGCCTAATTAATTCCTTGTCTACCATAAAGTATGACCTTGTAGGTAATGTCCGTGATCACATTATGAAATTGGTTAACATTGCTACCAAACTGAACAATTTAGGTGTAACCATTACCGATGATTTTCTTGTTCACCAATCTCTAATGTCCCTTCCTGAGCAGTTTAACCAACTTAAGACAACCTATAATGCACAAAAAGATAAGTGGAGTATTGATGAGCTTATTACTATTTGTGTGGTAGAGGAAGTGAGGATCCAAAAGGAGAAAGTTGAGGGTGTAGTGAACTTTGTTAGTTCGTCTAGATCAGCTGACTATCCCTCTTATAAAAGAAAAGGTGGACCCAAATTTCACAAAAAGAAACATGGTCATTCTCAACATCCAGGTGGTAATAGTGGTCATCTCTAATAAGCATGGTGTTAAGCAAGATCAGTCTCATAATTCTCTTAGTCCTCAAGCTGTAATTAAGAAAGAAATCTAGTGTTGGGATTGCAAACAAGTAGGTCATAAGAAAGCTGGTTGTCCTCTGAAAAAGAAATCAGGTAATTTTTTGGCTTTTGTCTGCTTTGAAACTAGTCTTGTTCATGTTCCTTTAAATTCCTGGTGGTTGGATAGTGGTGCAACTGTTCATGTAACCAATGACTTACAAGATCTAGTAAGCAGACGGAAGCCAAAAGAGGATGAAGCTAGTGTTGTTGTGGGCAATGGACTCAAAGAAAAAGTAGAGTTTATAGGGATATCTATTTTACCTTTTAAGAATAATTCTAGTATTCGTTTAGAAAATACTATTTTTGTACCGTCTATGAGACGGAAATTAGTTTCGGTTTCCCTTTTAGACAAAGCTGGTTATTCATTTCAACAAAATAATGGTATTATTAAAATTTCCTATGATTCACATGTTGTTGCTGATGTTTTTTTTAAGTGATGGTTTATATCGCTTGAATATATTGAATGAAACTTTTTCTGCAATGTATGTAGAAAATATTGCCCACAAAAGGTTTGCTATGAGTAAAACGTCTTACCTATTATGGCATAGGCGTCTTGGTCATATTTCTAGAGAAAGAATTGAACGATTGATAAAGAAAAATATTTTACCTGTTCTTGATCCAAAAGATTTTGAAACTTGTGTAGATTGTGTTAAGGCTAAAATGACCAAGGTTAAGAGAAAGGGTTCCACTAGGAGCTCTGAACTCTTAGAAATAATTCATACTGATATTAGTGGACCTTATGTACCTACTTTGACCAATCATAAATATTTTATTACTTTTATTGATGACTTTTCAAGGTACTATTATATATATCTTTTAAAAGAAAAATCTGAAGCACTTGATAAGTTTAAAATTTACAAGACTGAAGTTGAAAAACAGCTTGGGAAGTCCATTAAGATAGTGTGGTCTGACCGTGGTGGTGAGTAATATAGAAAATATGATGAGTCTGGTCAATGTATGAGGCCTTTTGCTTTATTTTTGCAAGAATGCGAGATAGTAGCACAATATACCATGCCAGGTACTTCTGAGTAGAATGGTGTGGCTGAAATACGAAATCGTACTCTCATGAAAATGGTGAGAAGTATGATGTCAAGGACTAGCCTACCTGGGTCTCTTTGGGGTGAAGCCTTAAAAACAGCTAGCTATATCCTAAATAGAGTTCCTACAAAATCTGTCTTGAAAACCCCCTTTGAACTATGGACAATCCGAAAACCTAGCTTGAACCATTTTCACATTTGGGGATGTCCAGCTGAAGTTAGTATTTATTCACCCATAGAAAAGAAAACTGATCCTAAAACTACCAGTTGTTTCTTTATAGGCTATTCTAATCACTCTAAAGGTTTTAAGTTTTTTTGTTCTGGGCGTGGCACTAGAATCGTTGAGTCTATTAATGCGAAATTTCTTGGGCATGATGTTTGTGATTGTGATTGTTCATATGGTAAGGAAATTGTATTGAAAGAGAAGGAAGTCATTGTCCATGTACCTGTTATACATGAAAATGTGGTAAACCAACCTATTTATGAGGGGGAGAATCAAGGGAACAATGACGTAGATCCCATAGTTCCTGAACAAAATGTACATAATGAACCACTCCGCAGGTCACAAAGAGAAAGAAGTTCTGCCATCTCTAATGATTTTATCGTGTATGTGATTGAAAATCTTAGTGATACTGGAGAGCTGACTGATCCTTTATCATATGCTCAAGCTATTTCCTCTCCATTTGTTGATAAATGGCGTGAGGCAATGAAAGATGAAATGCGCTCCATGGAACACAATGGAGTGTGAGAGTTAGTTGAATTGCCTGAAGGTTTTAGACCTATTGGTTGCAAATGTGTGTTTAAAACTAAAAGAGACTCTAAGGGAAACATAGACCGTTATAAAGCAAGGTTGGTTGCTAAGGGTTACACTCAGAAAGAAGGTATTGATTATAAAGAAACATTTTCTCCTGTTTCATCCAAAGATGCATTTAGAATTGTGATGGCTCTTGTGGCTCATTTTGATTTAGAATTGCACCAGATGATGTTAAAATTGCTTTCCTGAATGGGAGTCTACTTGAAGAAGTTTACATGGTTCAACCTGAAAGATTTAAAGAAGCTGATAAAGAACATCTAGTGTGCAAGCTTAACAAATCCATATATGGGCTTAAACAAGCCTCCAGGCAGTGGTACTTGAAATTTGATGAAATTATTACAAAATTTGAATTTGTGAAAAATAAGCTTGATGAATGTGTTTATCTCAAAATAGCTAGTGGCAATTTCATTATTATGGTTCTCTATGTTGATGATATTTTGCTTGCCACAAATGATTTGGGCTTGATGAATGAGACCAAATAATTTTTGTCTAGGTCTTTTGACATAAAAGATCTTGGTGAAGCCTTTTTGTTCTTGGGATAGAAATTAAAAGAGATAGGTCATGTGGTTTATTGGGTTTATCACAGCGTTCCTACATTGAGAGTGTTCTTAAAACTTTCAATATGCAAGAATGTAGGCCTGGTGTTGTTGTAAAAGGAGACAAACTTAGCAAGGATCAATGTCCGAAAAATGAAGTTGAAATGAGAACTATGAAAGATGTGTCATATGCAATTGTTGTTGGTTATTTGATGTACATACAGGTTTGTACAAGGCTTGATATTGCATTTACTGTTAACATATTGGGAAGATTTTCTTCTAATCCTGGGTGGGCACATTGGGTGGTTGCAAAAAAAGTGATGAGATATCTACAACGCACCAAAGACTTCATGCTTGTATACAAAAAGGTTGATGATTTGGATCTTCTAGTATATTCAGATTCTGCTTTTGCAGGTTGTCAAGACACTATGAAATCAACTTCTGGGTATATTTTTATGTTGGGTGGAGGTGCTATTTCTTGGAAAAGTGAGAAGCAAAGTATCACTGCTACATCTACAATGGAAGCTGAGTTTATTGCTTGTTTTGAGACTGCTTCACATGTTGTCTGGATGAAGAATTTTCTTACTAAATTGCAAATTGTGGATTTTATATCTAAGCCGATGACTATTTTCTGTGACAACAGTGCAGCTATGTTCTTCTCCAAGAATAACAAGAGAACAAGAGGCTCTAAGCATGTTAGCCTTAAGTTTCTTAAGGTTAGAGACATGGTAAAAGAAGGTAATATATGTATTGAGCATATTAACACAAAATCTATGTTGGTTGATCCTTTGACTAAAGGTCTTAGGCCTGTGATGTTTAATGAACATGCTAAAAATATGGATATTTTAGAGTCTTTTGATGTACTTTAGTCAGTAGGAATTACTTTGTAATTGCTGACTGAGATATTCCTTTTAATAAATTCTAGTTTTATGCAAGCTTGTGTTATTTGATATTTGTTATGCTTATGACTAACATGAAAATTTATTTGTTTTTATTTCCAATTGGACATTGCATAAACTCATGATATCTTTGAGTCTTGCGGCTTGTTGCCTTGATTATCCCAGGTAAGGCACAAGGGAATCCTCCTGAGGTGATATGATTTTGTGTCACTTTGAGGCTCCTGAGGTGATATGGTTATAATATCACTTGGAGGATTATTTCTTTCTAAGAGGTGTCAATCTATTCACCTTGATTAGAAAGATAAAATGCGTAGCACACATGTTTGATCCATGTTGATAGAAATTCTAGCATATGTGGTCGTAGATAGAATTCATACCTTAAAATGGTGTGATGCCTGCTACGATTCATTGTTAATCTTTTCTATTGAGACTGAATGGATTGTTATATGGGTCATTTTACCCTTTGTTATGTGAGTAGTGTGGCCACCGTAGAGTCTAAAATCCTTTTTCAAAATAATTTTCGTAAAAACTCAAATATTTAAAATTGTTTTCTTGTCCTCAATTAACGTTGGCGTCCAAGTGGGAGAATGTTAGAATTTGGACTTACATTAATTGGTTATAGCCTGAAAGGATAGTGATGTGGCCCAAGTGGTGGATAAATAAAAAGGCCTAATATTAAATATTGTGTGTGTTAATAAGTGAGACCCAATAACTACTGGCTTGTGATGAGTAGACACTCTTTATAAATAGAGGTCAACCCCCCTTTCCCTAGCTATTAGAAAAACCTTAGCGTATTCTACTTCTTGAATACGTGGTAACGGTAGACGTCCCATCAGTCAAGTTCTCTAGGCTGTGAGAGCGCGTAGCTAGTGGATCGTGGAAGTTGGTCTCAGGCTTGATCGCCAGTTGCTGTCCCTGCTGAATCTATGGAGTTTAACGGTACGCTTCCTTGAACTCTAACTCTAGATTAATTGCATAATTGTGTCTTAATCTCTGCTATGGCTGCGATTTAATAATCTTACATTTAATACTCTCTTATTAGTCTACTTATTTTAGCATGACTTAGTACTCTTAGATTATGTTTATTTTTATTATGGCTTTTTAATTAGCAATATTTATATTACATAATTTTATTGTTGAATATTTTTGGATAATGCCATGACATATCTCATATTTTGTATTATTTTCTTGAAAAATACTTTATATAGTTGTATCTTACTAGGACTAAAGAAATATTTTGAGCATAATTTATATGTTTTGTTCTACGAAGATTTTACCGGTAAAAAAACTGAATAACCCGAAAACCCGAGAAAAATCGAGAGCGAAAAACCTGAGTTTTATTGGTTTGGTTTGGTCTTTAGATTTAATAATCCGACACAATTGATTTGGTTTGATAATTGTAAAATCTGAACCAACCCTACCTATATATACCCCTGCCTGCAATCTTTATAAAAGGGGCAAATCCCAATTGTAGAAATTTTGGAAGTCAATTCTTCGAATATCACTCACCTTAATGAAATTACTTTGTAAAATTATTTATTTTTATTATGCTCCAATAAGTCATTCATGTTTATACATTTATCTTATAAACTAATAATGGCTTTTGAATATAAAATCACTTACTATTTAAAAGT